GAGTTGACAACAAGGTAACAAGACGACTTTGAGTGGGACAAGAATATGATGTTTAAATATTTTTTTGTTGCTTATGGTACTGCTATAGGGGTTTTGTAAACATGAGAAATTTGTTGGCGGTTGATGGTTGCTTTTTACGGAATATGGAGGTACTGTTGGTGGTCACTGCACTGGACAACGAGAATCACACATCCGTTGCAGGGTGTGTGTGTTGACTCTAAGAACGACAAGTCTGGACTTGGTTTTTTTAGCAATTACTTACGATATTGCTTGACAGTGACGAGTTGTCATATATTCGATAGGCACAACTCTATAAGAAGGAGATTGCCACTGTTTACCCTCAAACACATCACGGATTCTGTATGAGGCACTTACGATAACATAAACAAAAGTTTAAGTTGCTGACCTCTTCAGACATACTACTGGTAGCAAAAGCTTATCGAGTTGATGAGTTCGAAGAGCACTTTCGGCAAATCTGAATCAAGGATGATATAATTGCTAAGTATCTTGAGTATGATGTTGGTGTGTCGAGCGAGGAGTATAGCTCACTTTCTTGGAAGAGTTTCTGTTATGACCACAGAACATAGTCGAGTCCATAAATTCAGAGTTGTTAATAGAAAGAAAGTTCCAATTATGCCCTTTTTTATGCAATCCAGAGGACATTGTCAGGTTGTGTCCATGAGCTCGTACGGAGTTAGATAATTTTACCACAATCCTGTTCCGTCAGCCAAAAAATTATTGCTAAGAACTATGGAATGTCAAATGCACTGTTTGTCTATTGTCTCAATGCTTAAGAGTTCACCATGTGCGGCTTGGTCCAAATGCCCTATTACCTTCTTAGTAAAACTTGCAGTTGTAAAGTGTTGACATTCAACGTTTACCTTGTCCTCATGCACTAGCAGCACTGAAACACCAACGGAAGCCGAATTTTTGTTCGAAATTTGTTAGTGTATGCCCTAAAACCAATCGTGTTGTCAGTTTCAGGCATTATATCTTAAATACTCTTTTGAGAATGGAAGAAAGAGTTATGTTTTCACATGTTGTTTACTGCTTCATTTATACTTTATAATGCATGTGAAATGTTTGGATGATACGGATCTTTAAAAGATCAAATCATCGAAGCATTCCCTACGTAAGTAATGTTAATTGGACAATAACATTACATAGTAGGTATGGTGAATGCTTCCATTGAATTCATGTGATGTTATTAGTGTGAGTGTTATGAGAGTTTGTCACTAACGCATTAGCATGGACAAACAATTAGTTGACTGTTTATCGAATATGGCCGATTACGATAAATCACATAGACATTTAGTATGTGGTCAATGATACATCGTAGGATCGTAATAGTGTACCACTAATCCTTAGACCTGAGACATCACGGTTGGACTCGACATAGGATGCATATGATTCATATGGTGATATACACGAGATTAGTCATGTTTTGTGTAGAAGCCGGTTTGATAATGTATTCATGTGCAAGCAAGTGATGGTCAATATGAATATGTTGACTCAAAATGTTTGGTCCCGAGTTCCCAACGAATATCAATAAACATTAGAAAAAGGAAATCTTTGGCCAGAGTACAAATAGTCATATGAAAAGAGTTTCATATGACACTTCTATTGTATTGATTGACAATTCAGATAAGATTAATTAGGGTTTTGACATACCATGAACTCATACTTAATCGGGATTAGACAATGGAAAGATTTTACTACATAAAACGTACGATCGGGAAAAAGGGTTCATTGGAGTTTAACTTCATTGTGGTTAGGGGTTATAGAGTATTGCTAGATGCCTACCATGATCGGTGGGAGTTTTGATCAGAAAGAGTTATAATAAAATATATCGGATTGCGATATTAGGCCCACGACTAGTTAAGTGAACCTAAGTGGTCACACCTAAAAACCAAGTATAATAAGAGAGAGTAATACATGTCGTTAAAGGTTAATGATATTCGATGTAAACGTGTGGGCAGCCCTATATTCCATATTTGTGAATGAGGTACGTTTCACTAACATGTCACACTCGTGACTAATTTACTAAATTGATTAATTGATTGATTGACTTGACACGACATTGTGTGTTGATATATTTATTTTGCCTACTTACTTTTTGGGCAGCAGTCAGTGTCTTACAGAGGGAATATGAGAAATTTTACTTACTTAAACCTTTTCTAAATACATGAAAGAAAAATAATTAATTTTATTTAATACTATATAAAGGATGATTTTTTCAAGGTAATAATAAATTGAAAACAAGAAGTCTTCAACGGTTGGCCTTGACAACTCTTTCGATTTCATTATTTCTTCTTGATGACATAGCTAGAAATACAAAGACATAAAATCATTTAATGCACCACAAAGAGAAACATATAAGTTCATCAGATCACTTAAGCAATCTGCTAGTCAGATTTGCAGATAACAGCAGATCGCTTAGCGATCTGGTGTTCACCAATCATCTTTTGAGTAGCAAATCGCTTAAGCGACCGACTATCACTTAAGTGATCTGAGCAGCAGATCGTTTAAGAGATCTTAAGTCGCTTAAGCAATTTGCTATTCGAGTTACAGATAGAGCAATCGCTAAGCGACCAAGGATCATTTAAGTGATCTACTCTTTTTAGGAGATCTGAACAGCAGATCGCTTAAACGATCTACTGTTCAGATCTGCAGATAAAGCTCTGCAGATCTTACAATAGGTTGCTTGCTTTCTTGCTTTGATCGATTTGAACCTAATTACTGGATCTACATGTGATCAATTCTAGCAATTGCTTTTCTTGTGGCTAGGTTGCTTACAATTGAACACTTATTCACCTCCGGGGAACCTCACAGGCTAATGGAATACGCTTAACCTTTTTCTCCCTCCCCTTTTTTGTCTTCTTGAATGGCGGATGGATGATAATGTCAACCAACTCTAGCGGCTTCTGGAGAACTGAATACAATGTTTCTGAATAAGCTAGCTTGGTTTGTCATATAGAGAGCAAAGTTCCATGTAATTCTGAAGATTTCATGTCGTTAAAGGTTAATGATATTCAGCTAGGACTGTCCTGCATAGCAGGCTGCCATAGGCAGTTGCGTGTGACCAGCCTTGCAATATGCATGACACCCTCCAACCCTCCTATTTTGCCCATTTTGCCATCTCCAGCCCTCCAACCTCCCACAAACAACCTCCATATGGCCTCCCTGCCTTCCCCATCCTTTGGAACCCAAACAAAGCCACTCCCCCGATGCCCGACAATTGCTCAACAAAACGCCCAATCGTCTTAACAATCAAAACCAACTATATATCCCCCAAATTCGCACAAACCAATCAATTTTTTCATCAAATTCAAAACCACCAATAAAAACATACAGTTTTTCACCAGCGTCATCCTCCTCGCTTGAATTCTCGCCAACGTCCTTCTCTCTTGTCTTGTGCCGTCGTTGTCTCCTTTGCCGCTGGACCACCTTCACTCATTGATGATCCATCGGAGCGTCTTCTTCGACAACCTTTGACAAATCGCCGCCGCCAGACTCTAAGATTTGGAGTGGGGTTGGGTTTTCTTTTTTTTTTATGAATTCACCATGATTTTGTGTTAAGATCGAATATTTGCTAGAAATAGAGAACTTTTATCGTTGGAAATCACAGAGAGATGGAAGTGTTTCGTCAATCGTTTTTTGGGTATACTGCTCGATTAATGATTTTGAAGGGAGGGGGTCATTTTTTAATTTTCAAAATTTAAACAAATTTCTATTAATTAACTATTATCCATATACGTTTCATCTTTTCACCCTAGCCCCTTTTTGCATGTTTAGTTACAATTAAGTGTGCCAGGTCAGATTTTTAAATTAAAAAAAAAGAAAAAAAAAAAAAAAGATCTTCTGATTTCCAGGTTATGTTTTAAAATCCAAACTTGGGATATTTGGAGAGTTAATTTCCTCCCTTCTGTAACTCTGTACCAAAGCCGAAACCAGAAGCAAAAGAAACTCAAACAGATTTCTATTTCCTACAACAAGCCCCTAATCCGTCTCCACCTAGAATTCCAATTCATGCTCTACTTCCCCTCTTCTCTATACAACACTCTTTTTTCCTCCCATGTTTCGCCGACTTTGCACCTCTTTTTCTGTTTCTATCTCAAACCAAAACACACTCTTACCTTCCAAAACCCCATCAGCAAACAATTAAAGTTTCAGTCCTTATCTCAAACCCCGCGTTTTTTCTCATCAAATATCACAATGAGCGACACCCGAATCTTCAACTTAGGAAAGCTGAGTTATTTCGATCTCTTGAAGCTTCATTGGGTCATTCTTTCAACACAAACCCAATTTGTCCTCCGCCCAATCCTTTGATAATTGTCATAAGCGGACCAAGTGGGGTTGGCAAAGATGCTGTTATAAAGAAACTGAGGGAATCTAGGGATTCACTCCATTTTGTTGTAACGGCTACAAGCAGGCCAATGCGGCCCGGTGAAGAGATGGAAAGATTATTATTTGTGACAAGAATGAATTTTTAACAATGGTTGAGAAAAATGAGCTTTTAAGTATGCACTTGTGTATGGGGATTATAAAGATACCAAAGAAGCAATAAGGGAGTATATGGGAAAGGGGTATGTATAGTGTTGAGAGTTGACATTCAGGGGCTGAGACGTTGAGGAGGATTTTGGGTAATTCGGCTGTTTGTTTGTTTTTTGTAGCGGAAGTGAGATGGCAATGGTGGAGAGATTGGTTCAGAGGAAGACTGAGAGTAAGGAGGATTGCTAGTGAGGATGCCACAGCGAGGGAAGAGATAAAACATGTGAAAAACTTTGATTATGTGGTGGTAAATGCGGAGGGGAAGCTTGATAATGCTGTGAAGTTGGTCGATTCTATAATTGATGCTGAGAAAGCCAAGGTCCGGCAAAGGAGTGCTGTCATTTGAGTATTTCTTATTTTTTAGGAGCAATATTATTAGAATTATCAAAAATTAATGTAGACATTCAATTTTGATATGAGTCCAGTATTTTTATTAAAGGATTTATTAAATGGTTGTCTTTGATTGGCTTAGAATAATCACTCTTAAATGTTCTGTAACTCAAAAACTAGGCTGCACGCGTATCATTTCTGAACAAATTCTTGGGTCACTACATAAGATCAAAATTATTTTAAAATTCTATGTTACTAGTTTAATTACATTTTTGTAGATAATTTGTAGCTTTAGTTAATGGCTTCTTCCAATGTTTGTGTAATGACACGCGCAATAGATCTGTGACTTTGGTCTTGCAAGAGTAGCTTTCAATGACACTCCAACTGCTATTTTTTGGACGGCAAGTTTTCTTTAGCCGATTGTAAATTTGCAACCCATGAAACAATTTGCATGGTCTCTAAATATTTTTTTTAGTCAATTTTGTGATGAACGTGCATTTTTTTTTTTTTTTTTTAATTCTAACAGGATTATGTTGCGACAAGGTGGTACAGGGCTCCAGAATTGTGTGGATCCTTTTTCTCAAAGGTGCAAGAATTATTACCACTTACCATTTGCTTGGAAGTTGCTTGATCTTTGCATCTGGTATCGTGATTCTTGTTCTGTTTAAAGTGATCGTTCTTGAGTGCTCTGTTACAAATTTTGTTTGCTAGTGTACCATTTACGGTGTCTTTTTCTCTTTCAAATCATTCTCTTTTCTATTTTTTGTGCAAAATTGTGACAAAGTATGAAAATCCTCATCACCACTCTTTCGTCTTTGTTTTTCTCCTTACTTTTTGTAATCTGTTTACTCCTTTGTTTTTTCTTTGTTTACTTTTTATTGTTTCAATGCAACTTGAGTTGGATGAATAGTTGCTCAGAACAATACTTCTTAAAAACTCACCTGTTTGTGTGTAGGATTGGAGCCTTACTACGATTAAACTTATTCTTTTGGTTGGATAATTCTTATGAAAGCCTTGTGTATGTATGGCCAATTTTGTAGCTTATCCTCTTCCCTAGTCTTCTTTTCATCATCTATTATTGGCAAACTGAGTTGGAATGTTGCTATAATTTACTCTAAATCTTCGTATTATTTATGGGAATCTGGCCTCATGCAGCGTGACATCGTCAGGAGGAGCTTTTATATGTTGTAACAAGCTTAGCCTAGGTTTAATATTTTCTTATAGTGGATGAGCTCTGCTCAGCTCAAATTAGATTTATTCATAACAAATTTTTTTTCTCTCTTTAATGTTATGTAACTTTTTACAGTATTCTGTTTGTACTGTTTGTCAAGATAATATGCATTACTTTATCATAGCATGTTCTGCTTTTGATCATACTCTTTGCTTTTCTTTCAGTATACACCAGCAATTGATATATGGAGCATTGGTTGTATCTTTGCTGAACTTTTAACTGGGAAGCCTCTTTTCCCTGGGAAAAACGTCGTTCATCAATTAGACCTTATGACCGATCTGCTTGGAACGCCATCCGCCGAAGCCATTGCCAGGGTCTGTTCAATGTTAAACTTATTGTCTTGTTGTGGATATGATTATTTAAAGTTCATTATTACACTGTTTCATGTCCTTGTTTATGCATTTCTTCACTGAATTATTGATATTATATGGACAGGTAAGGAATGAGAAAGCGCGGAGATACTTGAGCAGCATGCGGAGGAAAAAGCCCATTCCTTTCTCTCAGAAGTTCCCTAATGCCAATCCCCTTGCACTTCGTTTATTGGAAAAAATGTTGGCATTTGAACCCAAGGATCGACCTTCAGCAGAAGAGGTGATTGCTATGTCCTGCATTATCTTATTTTTCAAAATGTATTCCTTTTTCTAACAGAGATGTGTTGCTGCATGTTGTCAGGCTCTTGCTGATCCATATTTTAAGGGTTTAGCCAAGGTTGAGAGAGAGCCTTCTGCTCAACCAGTTACCAAGATGGAATTTGAATTTGAGAGACGAAGGATAACAAAGGAAGATGTAAGAGAGCTTATATACCGAGAAATTCTTGAATACCATCCTAAAATGTTGAAAGAGTACTTAGAAGGTTCGGAACCAACAGGCTTCATGTATCCAAGGTATTGTTGTTGTCTATTGATATTTTGTTATGAAAACATCTTAATTATGTTGCTAAATGAAGCTGCATTTTTTTTTCATTGATTTTGTTCCACTTTAACAGTTGTGAACTTGCATTTGACCATTCAATTTTTCACCAATCTTGTATATTTTTTATTTGAACTTTTCTTTGCAGTATTCCTCTGGATTGTTGATAAATTTAGTTCTGTTTTTTCAATATTAACTTTTGTTGAGGAACCATTAATTCCAAAACTTAAGTCGAAACTCTAAGTGCCATATGACATGAATGGTCTAATTTAATTAACAGACTTGTCGCATGGATCTAAATGCATGTAGATCCAAGCAGAGATCCTGCTTCCTTTATGTTTTAAATTAATAGAATGGAGGGATTTGACAAAAGACTTCTTGGTCCACCTAGTTTTGATTCTTCTGAAAAGCTTCAATCAATTGAAAGAATCTAACAATTGTATTTAAACTCGAACAGTTTAGAGGGAACCTTTGAGTCTTTATGAATTCACTTTATTCTGAAGGATGTTGAAAAGTCCCTTGCTTTGAAAGTTGTTATCTTATGTATGCATTTCTTATGCAGTGCTGTTGATCATTTCAAGAAGCAATTTGCTTTCCTTGAGGAGCACTATGGAAATGGTGCGACTGTTGCTCCACTCGAGAGGCAACATGCATCATTACCCAGGTATCCACTCACTATAAATTGGGCATGCTGCTATCCATTTCTTAGGCATCATGTTTATACCATTAATATGCTTCTTTAATGCTGCAATGAATTTTTATTTTATAGCAATTTCCAGCATCCTTATCAAATTTTATGCATGCAGGCCATGTGTATTGTACTCTGATAAACCAGTACAGAACTCAGTAGAGGTCACAGATAACCTTTCCAAATGTTCCATCAAAGAAGTTGAAAAACCACCTTTGGATAGGAGTTCAGGGATACCTATGACAAGGCTCCCTCTTCAAGTTCCTCAAAGCACCCAAAGTAAGTTCAGTTTTATCTAATTGCAGCTAATTTACAGTGCTGACCAAACACACATCTTTATGACATTGGTTATAATTTCTTGGTATTATCTTGCATGAGAATCAATTTATCTAGAAAGAAGACTGTAAATAAAGTGTGGTCCTGTAACTCAATTATTTGTAAATTTTACCATTATGAAATTGGTTATTAACATCTTCCACAGTCAAGGGATAAGATTTAAATTTTTTTGTCCATTTCCACTGCACAAAGGTCCAGACACCGCACATGGATGGCTGATGGTTATATACTTGTTCCTCACTTCTATTGGACCATGGATTGTTGTGCTTAAATGTTCTTGTCATGCAACTTGATCGGAACCCTCCTGTTAAGCTCCTTAATACGTTGTTGTTTCCCTGATACTGAAGTACTTTAACTTGCACAATGAATATCCTTATTGTATTGGTGCTTTGTGTAGCACATGGTACTTACTATTCTCTCAAGATACATCTTGCTCAGCTTGTGACATATATGATATACTAATGGCTAATAAATTAATGTTTTCATTCCAGCAGGTGCTGCAAGACCCGGGAAAGTTGTCAGTTCAGTATTGCGTTACAACAATTGTGGAGCTGCAGCAGCAGCAGAGGCTCTTGATCAGCGGAGGGTGGTTAGAAATCCAGCTGTCTCTTCCCAATATCCTGCCAGTTCATATCAAAGTAGAAACCCCGTATGTAAAAATGATTCTGTGGATGATGAATCCGTTGAAAGTTCCAATGGATTGCAGCCAAAGCCTCAATACATGGCACGGAAAGTTGCTGCTGCTCAAGGCGGTAACTGGTATTGACTGTGTTGTGTTATTCTTCTTGTGGATTCAATTGCATACAGTCAGCTGATGACCGTGGTTAGGTGTCACCGCGGATTGATCTGCTCTCAACTAGGAATCATGAGATTCAAGTGGTATGTTTTACCAGCACAGGGCCTGCAGGGACTGAAAAGCTCTCAAGTTGTAATTTATAGCACTAACTAGAAAGGTGGAAGGGGTAATTTTATGTGCCACTGCCCATGACCCTGTTCTTGTATGATCAGAACAATAAACCAAGATACAAGGCATGTCCTCATGAATGAGGAAAAGGCAAGGCAATTCCTTGAGTTACCAATTTCTTTCTGTTTTCTCCTAATTCTTTTCAAATTAGAATTAAGTTATTACCACTTTGTTCTCTATGTCTTATCTAAGTTATTTTGGGGCATAACTGTGACTGTTAATTGTTGTATCTTTGACTTGTGCTTTCTCAACTTGAAATAATTGCATCGATTCTTCCTACTCTTTCACTTAACCAGTATATTGTCGGTTTTGGCATTAAATTTGATCAGAAATATGCATCGACTTTAGTTGATGGTTATATATGAGCTTTGAGAATTGAGACACCAGCTTCATGCAAATATAAGTTGGTTCATTTCCACTTACAATAATCTTGGCTAATTGAATATAAAGATGCAAATTCTTACACATTATGCCTCAATAACCAGTATAAATAATGGCATATTTAGACCTCCTGACATTAATAAGTTGCTAGTTTTGACTGGTGAAAGGCAAAAGTAGATCATCAACATGCTACTTATTGGGAATAGGATCCCTATTTGCAGAAATCACATTTTGCTGCTTCTAGTTCTAGTTCTAAGACTTCTAGTTCTAGTTTGGCTTTGCTTTATTTGACAAAGTACCTTGACATATTAATATTATTCAATTTGCAAAATTATTCCCACAATAAAAAAGAAATGGCTCTGTCAGAGTATGTATAGTTGTATACTATGTAACAAATAATCCCCGCATGCAAATCTGTAATTACATACACTCATTGCTTTAACAACTTACAAGTAATTTCACCAATCTTAACTGACACTCAGCTGTTCACAAACTATAGAACAAATTAATGAACCACTAATATTAAATTTATCAAATGAATTGTCAACTGTTAGTATGATCCAAAAATGTTTTAACCTAACAAGCTCTTTTTTTTTTTTTTTTTCCTTTTCTTTTCAATTATTATTATTCTTCTTGAGAAAGAAAGACCTATCTGTTATTCCTAAATCAATGTGTCCTCGGCTTCACCCGCCTCCCATTCACATCACAGCCATCTAATGTTGTCTCATTTCCATATCCTGAAGCAATGACACAGTGCTCACCAATTCTCGCCACATGCTGCAACAGTTCGGTGAGGACAGAAGAACAGCTTTCTTTTAGGTATTCAAATCCATCTGTTTGCATCACGGCTGAAAACAACAATTGACCACTCCTGTTGTTAGAAAGCAATCATAATGGCTAAGAAAGAAAAAAGGGTAACCAAAAGCAATTCAATTACATTTTTACTCTTTAAACCAAATGACTATGCTATCCTGATGATAAAGGATTAGTGTAGCATAGTGATATGCATAAAGCAGGCACAGTGGTGAGGGATTATATCAACCCTTTTTTTTTGAGTTTATGAATATAAATGAAATTATTTTGGATATAAACATTAGCAATAATCACAAACAAAATACTAATATCCTACATTACACCAACTAGTCAGCATTACAAGCTGCACCAAGTGGCCCATGCAAAACTTAGTACAGAGGCTCTAAGACATGGGGCAACGGCTCTCTACCACAGGTCAAAAACATAGAGAGTGATTAATGGTAAAACCAGTTCCTTGTACAATAACACATGTAACCCAAAAGAGAACTTTGTAAACATAGACAGACATAACAAAGTGATGATGAATATGCATATTTAAATACCTTTCAAATTTTCGGGCAATGCAGTGAACTTGAGACAAACAGCTTTCAGTTGGAAACAGTGGTGCTGCTCTGCCAAGGCCAACGTGGTAGCAACTGTGTTTATGGCAACATCCTCACAAAGTTTAGCCTCACACAACAACTTGAGCCTCTCAAGAGCATATCGATCTGCTGCTGCAAGCAGATGCTGAGCCATTAGTGTAGAAGCCCATTTTGGATTTAGATCCACAAGCTCTTCCATGTCTGGTAGTGTATCCCAGTAGATAAAATGGAGTAATGCCTGTAAAGTTCCAACTAACATTAAAAGGAGGATACTTTCATGCAGGTTTACCAAGCAATACTCAGGTACAACTAAACCTTTAGAATCTTCTTGCATCTTTGGACACTAAAATAAATATTAAATAACAAACAGTGCATCACCAACTAGAACCAAAAAATGAAAGAACAGACAAAAAAAAAAAAAAAAAGACATGAATAAAATGAGGGGCAAATAGAAGTATTGGAAGCCATCTCTGCCTTTGTTCCAACTAAATTTCAACGAGGAAGAAGGAACCATGATATCACTTGTATTTTCAAACGATATGAAGATTTTGTTTCATTCCATTGAACCCACAGCCATGCAAGCCAGATAAAATCTTAAGAATTTTGAGTACTTATTGATAATTCCAACAAAAATCAAATGATTAAAAGCTCATTCAATTTAGAAATCCATTATTCGTATCACCAAATAAACAGTTGGATAAACCTGTCCAACAGCAGGCTCTCAAAGTATCTTTTCAGCTGTCAGACTGGGACAGACAAATGAGAAATTACAAGAAAAATCCTTCAAAATGCACAATCAGGAAATCAAGTAAATTTAGATACTACTTAACAGGTGATTCGAAGTAAATAATTATACCATCAAATAGACCAACTATGGAATATATGCATACAACAGCGTCAATCAGGAAGAAAAGCAAGAAGATACGTAAACCTTAGCTGGGGTGAGTAAGATTTTTGTACAGGAGCAGCGCCTTAGAAGAAGGTTCCAGATGTACATTCGTGTATATATCATCCTGTACAGGAACGCAATTACTCACCTCACAAAAGGCAACCAAAAGAAGCTACCTCTTCCTATGATTCTTATACATTATGCATAATAAGCTAATTACCGTAACATAGAACTCATCCTTAGAGATCACCAAGGTGCTCAACAGAGAATTAAGAACATATTTGAGAACACGCACCACAACATCTCAAAAGAAACATCTGCCTACTGTAATCCAAAACAACCCCTTTAGTGATATTAATCCAAAAGAGTAAAAAAAAAAAAAAAAAAAAAAAAAAAACGACAACAAAAAAATTATATTTCAGCAGCAAGAAAATAAGTTAGGCTCACAACAAACCAGTGCCTTTTTAACTTTTTGTTTTAGCAATATACTAAGAAGTAGAATGGAAGAAGCCATCAGTTCACCACCACAACCAGAGGAAATTACGTATTAAAACACTATTCTAAACTCTAGCAGGAAAAAAGTTTCTTTTGGTAAGGGCTGCAGGAATGTGCATATAAAACAGGGAATAAAAAAATGCCATAAGAGTTAATTTTTTTTTTTTAAACCAAATTATCTCTAGTCTGCCTCTGAAATTCAGTGATTATACACAAGACAAGCTTCATAACAAAGCAAACAGAACACAATCTGCCATTCAAAAATATAACTGCAAAACAAGAACTCAAGAGTAGGAATGAACCACAAAAACAGAGACAACATTTATATAATTTGAAGGCAAATGATTAACGTTTTCCTTCCAATTTCAACCAACAACAATCAGCATATATTGGATCCCATATCTATCATTCAGTAAAAACTTTACACTGTACAACCTAAGCAAAATAAGCACAACAGTGGTGTTAGAGAGAGAGAAAGAGAGAGAGAAAGAGAGAGTGAACCTTAAATACTGGGGCTTCCATGTCTTCAACATTAATGCATTGAGTGTTTTGATCCTTCAGTGGACCAAAAAGTTGAGCTCTGAACACAGGTGAACGTGCAGCAAGAACCAATTTGTGTGCCGAAAACTTTTCCCCATCAACATCAAAATTCACATCAGTACACCTACTGCTTTCTAAAAGCTTCCCAAAATGCTTACCGATATCACAAGGTGGCACGGCAATAGTGTAAGTCTTAGGTCCCTCTGTATATGACTTAACTACACCAACACAGCAGCGAATTGAGAGGCAGTCATCTTTAAGGTAGTCTGATGTCTCAAGAAGAGTCCTTTTAAAAAAGCGCTTATAGCCCCTGAAACACCCAACAGTGGAACCCATTTCAATATGTTTCTGATCCACAAAAATACTGGACGTCATATTTAATTTATACCAAAATAGATGTAACCGAAATCTTATAAATTTCTATGACAAGACAGCAAATATAGCAATGTGCTCCAAGGCAGGTTTTCTGACACTCAAGAACATTTTTAGATTGCCTCTCTAAAGAAGGCGAACTTACTTTGATGTACTCAGTCCTGTCTAATCTTTGAATTTACATATTATCATTGTTTAAGATTCCAGGTATAGTGGAAGTTAGAATTGAAAAATTAATGAAAGGTTTTACTGTGGAAGGAATGAAGGAAATGACCTTCTTACTTGGAAGTTAATTTCTCGCCCTAGGTTGAAGGTGGATTAGGGATTCGCAATTTAGGGAAGAGGGATAGCAATTTTAGAAAAATGGCTGCTGAGATTTCCTTAAGAAATAAATTATCTTTGGCAAGAAGTAAATCAGCCATATTCAAGTGATTCATGAAAATAGCTTGGAAGCTGATGTGATTAGGAGCTCTCAAGGTTTTCGTGGAAGGCTATTTCAAAAATTTATCCATTTTTCTCCAGACATTTAAAGAATATTGTTGAAAGGGGGAGTAGGTTTAGTTTTTGGGAGGATTATTGGTTTGAAAAAACTTCAGTTTGTTCATTAGAAATTTGAAGGATAGGTAGGTACATGAGTTATCTTCTCTTCTTACTTTAACTGAGAATAATTTTCTGGATGAAATGAATAAATGAAAGATGACAGTAGGACAAATAATCAAACAAAATATGCTAGATAAAAAAACAATCTTCCAATTCCAGAGTCTCAAACAACCTTCAAACCACACTGCATAAACACATCACCAACCCCATTTACTAGAAACTTTCCTGTCCCTTAGCCCATGCATATAAATCAACAGAAATCCACATTTTCCTGCTTTAACATAAAATTGCTTTTAACAACAAATTAACCATAAAATCACACTAGAAGTCAATAAAGATCCATAAACACAAAAACCAAACAATTCAGTTCAAAACACAGATAACATGTTAAAGAAAACCACTGACCACATGCTCCCCCGATATTTAAGCGCGTAGGGTCCACTCTCGAGGGTCCTCCCAAAATGGGTATGAACCTTGTGCCGTGCCTTCCCGCTCTGATCCAAAAGCGTGAGCTCAAACAGCGCTCTAACGTCCGTCCCCTCGCTTGCGAGGGCGATAAACAGCGAAACATAAGCGGCGTTATCTTCAACGCTCTTGCCGTCAGGGTAGAAATAAACAGCCCACGCATAACCACCGACAAAGAAGGTATCGGAAGCTATGTACTTTCCGATGCCCATGCCTTTAGAGAGCGAGTAGCCGCTGATCTTGAACTGGTGCCACCCATTTGTGGTCTCGTTGCGAGAGGTGGAGGTTGTGGGTGTAATTGAGGGTTTTGAAGGGTCTTTAAAGACCCTAATTGTGCCCATCAACCGGGGTGACGATGAATTTCCACGTTATGAGAAAATGAATCGTTGAATTTGTCTAGAATCTCTAGATTAATTGGGTTAAATTGGGAATTAGGGTTTTGAGTAAATTGAAATTGGGGGATTTGGGACTGATAAAAATTATTTCTTGGGATTTGGGGCAATGATTATTTGAGAGAAGGGATTTAGAAACGACGAGACGGTGATGCTTGTTGTTCTAACTGGATGATGATGTAAGAGTTTTAAGAGTTACCTCAGCTGTTCTCCACGGAGGTTGCCATGTGACATTATATGTACTCTAAGAACTAAACGACATGTCATTTCTTTGTTTACCTCAAAGGCATTTTATTAAAAATACCAAATGAAATTCAAATTTAATTAAAAGATAATTTTAAAGTGTTAAGTAAATAGCCTTATTATTGATTAAGATTAATTAAACATGATTAATAATTAATTAGGATTAATAAAGTATCATATAATCTTTTAAAAATTATAATATGTCCCCAAAAAGTCGAAATTCTTGCAAACAAACCCAACACCTTCTTTTTCTTCCTCCTGTCACATCAACGCACCTCCCCTAATTGTTGTTTCTTCTAAGCTTCGTCTACATCTTCTTCTTCCTCCTTCGTCTACATCTTCTTCATCCTCCGCCATTGACACTTTCTTCTTCCTCCGCCAAAGATTCGCCTCCTCCCCCTCCTCCTCCTGACATTTCATCCAAGTATGTGTATCTCCTTTTTGCATTTTAAATTTCGATTTACAAAGATTTAATGATGGATTGAGTTTGGGTTATGATTCTGATTTAGTTGTTTAGGTTGTTGGATTGTGTTTAATATAATGCAAGTTAAAAGGAGAAAATTTGTTGAATATTTTCTTGCATTGTGGGTAGCTGAGGGTGGTAGCACTGATTGTAGGTAGAGATGACTAAAAATGTGTTCTAGATCTGATGGATCACTTAAGCAATCTGGTGTATCGCTCAAGTGATCTGATATGTCTGGTATAATGCAGTAGATCGCAAATCGCTTAAATGATCATATATATGGTAGCAGATCGCTTAAGCGATAAGGTATGTGACAGAAGATCGTTTAAGCAATCAGGCTTATTTATATCAGATTGCTTAAGCGATATACATGATCGCTTAAGCTATCCAATAAGCGATATATCAGATCGCTTAAGCGATACACCAAATTGCTTAATCGACTCTGCAAATGCTTTTTAAAATTTGTCAACCCTTAATTTATCGGTTAATAATTTTTGTTTTCTTGCATTATGGGTACTTGACTATTATTAGACATGGGATAAGTGGCTTTGGGTGTTAAATATTTTTGGTGAGTGGGTGTAGAAAGAAAGTTGATGAAAGTGGATTGGGAAGAGCAAACAAGTTAAAGCAGTTGCTGTGATGACAGAAGTTAGTTTTGATGAGTTGATTATGAAATCATTAGAAGATCTGGGTTGAGTTGCTCATGTAATGATATAGTTGTGAAGTATGTTTTAAGCAGAGCTCTTGCAAATTTTAAGGTACCCCTGTTATATTAATGTCTGATGAAGATGTGAAATTATTTATGCTTGATGTGGGCGATAATGGTTTGAGACCCATTTTAACGATTTCGGTTATGGATAAAGCTTTGGAAGTTGGTTCAAGAGTAAGCAGTTATTTGGGTGGGGAGAATGCTGGTTTTGATTTTAACTATGAAGGCATTGATTTCTTTGTTGAAAAATCACGAATGTACAGTGATTTGGGTGGTGAGGAGGATACTTTAGAAGAGGTTGGTCATGTGGGGTAGAATGAAAATGTGGACGAGGAGGACTCCGTATATGTTCATGCAGATGTAGAGATTCCTATAAATATAGATTATACAGAAGGTATAGTTTGTGAGGAAGAGAACACTATAGTCGTTTATGCAGGCTCGGAAGCGGCAATTGCGGGTACTAGTAAATCACCTCACATTTTTACTAATGGATCGAACTTGCACGTAGGTTATTTATTTGACATCAAGGATGAAGTGGTGAGGAAGCTAAAATTTGTTGCCATGGGAAGTAATTTTGAGTTCATCACCAAAAAGTCTAATTCATCGACAGTGACGGTTGCACGTCGTGACCGAAACTGCAAGTGGCGGGTTTATTGTAGAAGGTTGGCGGAGTCCAAAAAATTTATTGTTAGCACATATACCCGTGAGCACACATGTGGGTTGGGACATATTTCAGGCAAGCATTGACAAGCCTCTGCTGATGTTGTTGGACAATTTGTCAAAAGTCAGTTTGTTGAAGGAAAAGATCCATCTCCTAAGGACATTCAGAGACTTGTGCGCACAAAATTGAGATGCGATGTTTGTTACTGGAAATTCTGGGAAGGGAGACAACATGCACAAGATTTTGTGAGGGGCACACCAAAGCATAGGTATGCAGTATTAGAAGCGTACCGTTATATGCTTGAGTTGACAAAGCAAGGTAGCAAGACGGCTTTGAAGTGGGACAAGAATATGAGATTTAAATATATTTTTGTTGCTTATGGTGCTGCTATAAGGGGTTTTGTAAACATGAGAAATGTGTTGGCTGTTGATGGTTGCTTTTTGACAGGAAAGTATGGAGGTACATTGTTGGTGGTTACTGCACTGGACAACAAGAATCACACATATCTCGTTGCATGGTGTGTGGTTGACTCTAAGAACGACAAGTCGTGGACTTGATTTTTTTTAGCAATTACTTACGATAATGTCTGACAGTGACGAGTTGTGCATAATATCTAATAAGCACAACTCTATAAAGAATGGGATTGCCACTATTTACCCTCAAGCGCATCACAGATTCTGTATGAGGCACCTTAGCGAGAACATAAAACAAAAGTTTAAGTGTGCTAACCTTTTTTAGACATACTACATGGCAGCAAAAGCTTATCAAGTTGATGAGTTCAAGGAACACTTTCGGCAAATCTGAATCAAGGATGATATAATTGCTAAGTATCTTGAGCATGATGTTGGTTTCGAGCGATGGAATATAGCTCACTTTCTTGGAAGAAGGTTCAATGTCATGACCACAAACATAGCCAAGTCCATAAATTCGGAGTTGTTAATAGAAAGAGAGTTACCAATTGTTGCCCTTTTTTATGCGATCCAGAGGACATTGTCAGGGTGGTTTCATGAGAGTCGTACGGAGTCAGATAATTTTACCACAATCATTGTTCCGTCAGCCAAAAAATTATTACAAGAACGTATGGAAATGTCAAATTCATTGTTTGCCTATCATCTCAATACTCAAGAGTTCATCGTGTGCGGCTATGATCCAGATGCCCTAGTTAACCTTCTTAGTAAAACTTGAAGCTGTAAAGTGTTTGACATTCAACGTTTACCTTGTCATCATGCACTAGCAGCACTGAAACACCAACGGAAGCCGAATTTTGATTCAAGAATTTGTTAGTGTATGCCCTAGGAACCAATTGTCTTGTCAGTTTCAAGACATTATATCTTATAAATACTCTTTTGAGAATGGAAGAAAAAGTTCTATTTTCACATGTTGTTTACTGCTTCATTTATATTATTTATAATGCATATGAAATGTCCGGATGATACGGATCTTTAGAAGATCAAATCATCGAAGCATTCCCTACGTAAGTAATGTTAATTGGGCAATAACATTGCATAGTAGGTATGTTGAATGCCTCCATTGAATATCATGTTATGGTAATAGTGTGGGTGATTATGAGAGTTATGTCACTAACGCATTAGCATGTACAAATAGTTAGTGGACTATTTATCGGATATAACCGATTACGATGAATCACGTGGACATTTAGTATGTGGTCAATGATACATCGTAGGATCGTAATAGTATACCACTAATCCTTAGATCTGAGACATCACGGTTGGACTTGACATAGGATGCATATGATTCATATGGTGAATATACACGAGACTAGTCATGTTTTGTGTAAGAAGTCGGTTTGGTCATATGTTATTCATGTACGAGGACAAGTGATGGTCAAGATGAGATCTGTTGACTCAAAATGGTTTGGTCCAAAGTTCCCAAATGAATGTCAATAAACATTGGAAAAAGAAAATCTCTGGCCAGAGTACAAAATAGTCATATGAAAAGGAGTTTCATGATGACACTTCTATTGTATTGATTAACAATTTAGATAAAGATTAAGGGTTTTGACATACCATGAACTCATACTTAATCGGGATTAGACAAGAGAGGGATTTTACTACATAAAATGTACGATCGGGAAAAAAGGTTCATTGGATTTTAACTTCACTGTGGCTTAGGGGTTATGGAGTATTACTAGATGCCTACCATGATCGGTGGGAGTTTTGATCACAAAGAGTTATGACAAAATATATCGGATTGCGGTATTGGGCCCACGGCTAGTTTACAGTGAACCTAAGTGGTCACACCTAAAAACCAAGTATAAGAAGCGAGAGTAATATATCTCGTTAAAGGTTAATGATATTTAGATGTAAACGTGTGTATCCAAATTTATGTATTGGTGAGAAATTATTACTCATGGAAGCTAGCACTTACCAAGGGTAATAAGGTAATTTGTTCATTATTGGATTAGATTCAATTATGGATTGAAATATATTGTTGAATTGAATTCAGTAATGAGTCAAATATTAAATGGGATTATTTATATGCCTTGATTATAACTTTGTTTAAATCAAAGATTTAATATTAAGGAGTTTATATTAAATTGAAATTGTTTCAAGGATTTAGGATCAACAACGATTTAATATTAAGAGTTAATATTAAATTGAAATTACTTTAAAGACTTGAAAGCAATATTGAATTTGTATTAAATGTTAATATAGGATTTATATTAATTCAAGGACTTGAGAACAATTTCAAATTATTGCAGAATGGTCATTATATATAAATAAGTGGTATTTCCAAATTTAATCTAATTTTTCATTTGATTGAAAAAATCTCTCTTGTGCTCTCATGGCCGACTCTCTCTTCTTTATCTTAGGGTAGACTTTACTTTGAGAATTTTCATCAAATTTGTTGAAGATCTTGAACTTCTTTTTTCAAGTTATAAAAGTTGTAAAACATAAAAGGTAACAATTTCACCCTTTTAGATTCAATAACATGTCATATGACCTTATACCATGTTTTACACCAATTTTAGCCTTTCTAAGCATGAATTCTTTCAGAATTTACATGGAACTTTGCTCCCCTCTCTATATGGCAAACCAAGCTAGCATATTCAGAAACAATGTATTTAGTTCCTCTAGAAGCCGCCAAAGTTGGTTGACATTATC